CACATGGAAATTTCACGATAAACAAGATTTAATTAAATACTTAATTTAAATTATTGATTTTTTAAATTCAATATTTACGTTTATCAAAATTTCAAATCATACTCGAAATTGTTGATTCTTTGTTGAATGTGGAATTTCTTGACTCTCATCTTAAAATGTATTAAAATTACATTTTATTTGTAAAATAGTCCGAATGGCATTTTTACCGGAACAATTGATATTATTCTAAGTAATTTTAATTACTGACAGACAATACTTAAATACTTTGCTAATTATTCTTATTGTTTGCTTACAAGTATATTTTACAAAAGAGATAGTAAAATATTTGATGCTTAGAAAAGGTATGATTAATGAAAACACCAAATGAAATTAATGAGATTAACGAAATTAATGAAAATTATGCTTAACTCTAATAATGGTTACCTGATAAAAAATCAATCTCAGATTCTTCGGTTGATTTTGATTCTCTGTCATTAACCGTTTTTTCTGAAAATTTCCTCAATATATAGAATAGATCGATCAAAAATGGAATAGATTAATTAAAAATAGAATAGAACAATTAAAAATAGAAAAGATTAATTAAAAATAGAATCAATATGTTGATAATTAATTAAAAACTTAAAATAAAAAGCGATATTTTTATTGAAATGTTCTTATTTATATTTAGCATATAAATTAATTAAATTTGATATCAATGAAAATTAAACAAATTCTAAATTCAACTATTCCATGTGAAATGGATAAGTTAAATTTTTAAGTTTCATTAATTTTGCTTAACTATTATTTTAATTGTTTTCTTTTATCAAACCGAAAATATTTCAAATTAAACTTACTTTTCTTCATTGTTGTTTTTTTGATATTATTATTGATCAGTTTTTCGTCTCATTGCAATATTTTAATTTTTAACTTAAATTAAATCAAAATTAAATTAAATTAATAATCGAATTTTTTTGTATGATTTAATTTTAGGTTAAATATTTTGCAATAAGTTTACTGTGTATCATATTTTAAATTCGATATAGCATAATTTGCGATTTGCGCGTCAGATTAACATTAATTAAAAATTTTAATGATAATTATTTTGATCATTTAATAAATGAATAAAAAACTGAGAATGTTGTAAGTTCATTTTAGGAAATAATATACATGCAAAAAGTATTTAATTAAATAGTTGAATACTTAAATGTCTTAATTAGTTAATTAAGATCTTTGTTTAGAACGTTTTGATCCATTGTAACAGTCATTTCGTGTTATTTTTTAAAATCCATCAACAATTTGCATATTATATTTATTCCAAAAACGAAAAAGAATTTCCCAAAAATTTACCAAAGAGAAAGAACTCTCTACTCATGGAAATTAAACCTCATTTATTTTACACATTGTTGACAGTTTGTAATTAATATAAGATTTTTCTTTCCTTAATGAGTTCAATAATTTAAAATAAAACAATGTGTGACGTTGATGGTTATTCAAATGAAAAGAATAGAAATGGAAATAAATATTTTCTCTAAATATCTCAATTCAATTCCGATAATTATATTTCAATTCAATTCCGATAAATATATTTCAATTCAATTCCAATAATTATATTTCAATTCAATTCCGATAAATAATCAAAAATTAATTAAAATTAAAATGATAATTTTAATCAATTTTCAATATTAATTATATATATAGTTTGAGAATAAATATTATATATTTCAATAATTTCTGTAATTTTCAAATTTGAAACTTTAATCATATCATTAATTGATGGATAAATTAATTATCACATTTATATTGATGGATATTTTGTTTCATTTCATTAACTTCGATTAGATTATATCCAATAAAATTTGAAATGTCATACTTTCAAATTCATCCTATCATTTAAAATTTTACTTCCTTTGAAATTTCCGCTATCATTAATTGCGTACGATAAAATAAATGATTTATTGAAGAGAAAGATATACTGAGAAAGAGAGAGAGAGAGAGAGAGCGAGAGAAAGGAGGAAATAATTTTTCAAAAATTGTCGTCAAAATTACATCGAAATATTTGAAGTGATAATAAACAACAGAATTTTAACAATAAACAAAGAATTCATTGTTTGATAATACCACCGCATAGTGATAACAATAGAAAGCATTTATCTTATCAATAATATGTGCATGTATGATTAATGAATATCAAAAAATATAATTGTGTGATATGAAATTAAAGAATGGAAATTATAATGAAAATTAAAAAAATAATGAAATTAAAAAGAAATGGAAATTATTCTTTCCTTTCCAATTTTAATATATTCCAATTCCAATTTAAATATATATGTATATCATATAATTGAAATTTCAATTTAAATATTTGAAATAATAATTTCGAAATGGTTATTATTTAAAAAAAAGTGAAAATTGAAAAATATTTTAATTATATAATTTTTTAATTATTATTAACCAAAAGAAAGGAAAGGATAGAAAATTAAAAATAAATATAAAAATCGAAAAGTTAAACGATTTATGTTTATTTTAGCAATTTGAAAAAAACGAAAAAGTTCCAAAATTATCACTTTTTAATTTTATTGGTTAATTAAAATATTTTATTCATTTATTAGTTAAAATTTCATTTTATTCATTAAATAATTAATTAAAATATCATTTCATTCATTTATTAATTAAAAGATCATTTTATTCATTTATTAATTAAAATATTTGATAATTCAAATTATTGCACAAAAAATAAAATAATTTTCAAATTAATCTATTGTTGTAAAGTATGAAAAATACAAACTATGATTAGCAGGAAATTGATAAGCGATTAGAATGATAAGAAGGAAATTGATAAACGATTAGAGTGATAAGAAGGAAATTGATAAACGATTAGAATGATAAGAAGGAAATTGATAAATTGAATTTGTAAAAATTTTAACAGTAAAATAAGTTAGGTAACACTTCTAATCGATGCTATGCTAAATTGTTATCCGATAATTCGATAATATATTTATTCCTCGTTGCTATTAGTAACCAAATCCACTTAAATAGTACTTCTCTTTTTGGCTAACATTCAGATCTAATAATAATAGTAAAGCTAAATGGATTAAAATATCAGTTAAAGAATTCAAATGATTATCTATTCTTGTTGAATGAAAATTAACTATTAACAATTAATTAGAAATAAAATGAAATCAAAGTTTTGTTCCTGTAAGATATAAGAAATGAATGATCATAATTATTGTTCATTATAATAAATATGAAATAAGATAATCATGATTATTTTTTACAATAACAAATATGATGTGGAAAAATTATGATTGTGATTGATTGCTAAATAGAAAATAAAAATAGATTATCATAATTATTAGATATTATAATAAATGTGAAATAAGATAATCATGATTATTGATTGCTATAATAAATACCATGTGGAAAAAATATGATTAAAACTGATTATTATGTAGGAAATAAAAATAGATAATCATAATTATTAACTATTATAATGAATATGAACTAGGATATTAATAATCATGATTATTAACCAAAAAAAAAAAAGAAAAATTATTATTAGCTACTATAACAAATTTTAACTGATATATTTCAATCTAATATCGTATCATCATTTACAGTGAATTAGTGTCACATGTATCGGTCAATTTTCTGGTACAATTAAATGGACATCTCTGATAAAACATTAAAACGTTTTAGTTTTAATTACAATTCACGATTAAATAACCAGTTTTTGTTTGCTGACAACAGTTAGATAACCAACTTTTGATTGCAATCATTAATTGAATAACCAATTTCTACTTATAATCAATATTTTCTAATTATAATCAATAAATTATTATATAGCAAAGATTGCATATTTTGATTGATTAAATTGATAGTTAGAAATGTATGAAAAAATATTGATCGCTTTTTTATGTGACAGTTTTATCTTATAATTTATCATATTTGCATAGTGATATCAGAAATTGTACTCTAAGTAACATCAAAAGAAAACGAAGTTATTTAAATATTTTTGACTAATTCTGTCATTCAATACTAAATGCTTAAAGTATTCTCTAAAATATAATTATACCATAAAGATGCATGTATAATCCAGGTAAAATAATCGGATGATACTTGATATGACCATAAGAAATAATTACATAAACCCAAAGCGTGGAAAAATGCTTAAATACTTATTGGTAAAAATGATCAAATTATATTCTACAATGAAAAAATATGTGCTGAAAATAATAATCGATATATCTTGATGATAATCGGATCGAACTTGAAATACCGATGGTTTTCTTTTTCAGATATATTGCATATTATGTATGTATAGTGTAAACAAACTATTTGTGGTGATAAATTTATTCGGAAAAAATAACTATCACAAATTTATTCTGAACAACAATTGATATTGCTTACTGATATTAGCAGCAAAATTTGATAATGAAATTAAACTACTTCATTTTGTAAACATTTTTTCTTAGTTCAAAATTTCAATTACAGATTTCGTGTATTGTTTTATTCTGTCACGAAGAAGAAAATGAAACAACGAAAAACACGTTATCCAAATTTTAGATAATACAATATCTTTATAATTAAATTTCAAATTCTATCGCAAAATACTACTAAAATTATTTCAGTTCAATTTTTTTTCTCTTCTAACAAATTTTCAAAAGAAAATAATTTAAAATCAAATTTATCAAAAAATTTCAAACAATTTCAATTTTAAAGAGAAATTAAAAATTTTGAACTATGAATAATTGAATTACAAATTTACTACTATTAGGAGAAAATTATGCAAAAATGAAATATGTGTTTTATGGAATTTTTTCATACTCTAACTTAATATTATAACTTCGTATTATAGTATTACATAATTACTAATATTGTTTTCTCTTAGTTCTATGATTGTTTACAGTAGTTGTTGTTGTTGTTGTCGTTGCTATTGTTATTGTTTATTGTTACATTGTTGTTACAAATAGAAAGAATTTCCAATGTAATTTGATGATCTTTTTCTTTTTCGTGCTTTTTTATTATCTTTGCGATACGGTTGCATAAATTTGATGACAAGCGATCATACCCGTTTTAGTTTGAACCATGTTGATAAATTGATTTTTTGGCAGACGATTAATTGGGCGATCGAATAATCGAGCCGTTATAACTAATGGAATTTTCTGAAATTATATTACGTCAATTTTTTCATCTGAAATATACAAATAATTTAATAAACAATAATAAGTGATAAACATTTTACAACAAAAAATAAATAAATAAGTAATAAACGATAAACATTAACAAAAAAATAAACAATAACAAAAAATAAACATTTTACAAAAATAAATAAACAAATAATAATAATAGATAAACATTTTACAAAAAAAATAAGTAAATAATAATAAAAGGTAAGGATCTTACAGAAAAAATAAATAAATAATAATGAAAGATAAACATTTAGCAAAAATAAATAAATAATAAGAAAAGGTAAACATATTATTATTTAAAAAAGGTAAACAATTTTGATTACTTTTGCCTTCCTTAATTACAAACATTTTTTGCATATATTAAATGGTAGCGTAAATATTTTAATGTATATTAATTCCAACAGGAACATTTCAATGTATACAAAATGCATAATTTAATTTCTATATTTTATAAAATTTTAAATTATTAAAATTTTTTAGTATAAAATGATAAAGCATATAATAATTTGTTTCTTTTATTTTGAAATAAAGAAAGGTCAAAATATTTTTAAAAAAATGCAATGATATCGATAAAAGAACACTAAAATGAAACATTTCATTTGGGCTTTAATTGACAGCTCCCAATTTTTTTACTTCAGAATGAATAATTTAAATTTTATTTAAAGAAAAATATTTTGGGATGCTTTTCCTTCCCTTTTTAATTTTGCAATAAAATAAATTGAAATTTAAGATTTTATTTTACAACATTTATTTGCTATTTTTAGCAAATATTTTCTTTTTTTTTGTCTGTCATCAATAGGAAGATGCTAATAACAACAATAAAACAAAAACAATAAGGGTAATAACAATAACAACAACAATAACAACGATGACAATAACGACAACAGCAACAATGACAGCAACAACAACAACAACAACAATAACAACGCAACAACAGTGACAACAACAATAACAACAACAACAACAATAACAACGACAGCAACAACAACAATAACAACGATAACAATAATAACAACGACGACAACAATAACAACAACAATAGCAATAACAATAACGACAATATTAATAATAACATTTTATCGTCCAAGTATGAAAACGGAAAATGTATACAGTTGACTTTAGACAATGAAATTTACACTTTTTATTTTTTAAGACAATAATTTTAAAATGATAATAATAATAGTAATTAATAATAATAATAATAATGAACGATTTTACATTAATTCAAGTTTTTAAAGTAAAAAAGGTAAATAATTATATTAAGTAAATGGGATGAAAAGAAACATACTCTAGCACGCGCTCGACTGCTTATAAACAAGTTCCAAAGTTGCTCAGCACGCTGTACATTCTGAAAATGTTAATGAAAATGATAAGGAATAAACAAAAGAATATGAAAAACAAAGGCTAAAAAATGATATGATATGATATGATAAGCTGAGAAAAGGATGAAAATATATATAAATTTTGATTTCACAAAAAAAAAGGTTCTTTCTGTTTTTATTCAATTCATTAAAATTACATCTTATTTTCTCTCTTTAAATTATTTATTCCACAATTTCAAAAATTTCCAATGATAAGATAATTATCAATGATAAGATAATTTCCAATGATAAGATATAATATGTAAATTATGAAATTTCTAAGATATGAAAAGCAAAAAAATGAAATAAGTGACAAAATTTGATGTCACATATTTTATTTTATTTCTTTTAACTATACAAATAAGAAGAGCTGCTAATTGTGTTAAAGTATTAAAAAAAAAAATTGTTTAGCAATTTTTTATGATTCAAATTTAATTACAAATTAATTATTTATCATTATAATATATATAGATTATAACAATATTAAATATATCTATCAAACGAAATTAATCACAAATTATTATATATCTGATCCTATTATTATACATCCAAGCTTAAATCATTAATTTATTTTTACATTAAATTTAAATTGATTATGAAAATAATATAATATAAATAGAATGAAAGAAATTACTAATTTAATTAATAACAAAATTTGAAAATAGAATGATTCAAAAAATGATTATCAGAAATTAAATAATTTTAAAAGAGAATTGGGAATTTTCTTATGTAGTTGTATTTATATATATATAATTAATATTACTATTAGTTTTGTTTAATTTAAAATTTAACTCGAATTCAATTATTATTACTATTTTCTTCCTAGCGGTTTTTTTTTCAAATTTTTACTCTTTTTTTTACGACTTAATTATTTTTAATAGTAAAAAATGCATCATTGCTATCATTTATTTTAATTTCCAGTTATCATTTATTTTAATTTCTAATTATGAAAATAGCTGCCTGTCATTTATTTTAATTTCCAATTATGGATACTAATGAATACTAATAGTTTTTTTCATTCCTATCTATAAAACAAAATATATCATTGAACTTATCAAACATTAACACTTATTGAATCTGCCGTTTTTCATTTACATTCTTTCTCTCTCTCTCTCTCCCTATCTTTCCTTTCTTTTCAATGCTTGAGATATTCCCGAAAAACAACATTTTACAGAGAGAATTTTTGAAGTGAAATGAAAAAAGGGAATTCACCAATATTTCTTTTTAATTATAACCAAAGATATCAAGTGCTTAGAAATTTTGAAAAAGTTTTACTTCGATTCGATCGATTCGAATTAAAAAAAATTTTTCCATCTAATTGACAGCCTGTAGGCTCTCATAAAATATTAACTCTACTGAGTTGTTCACGATAAAAACTTTTTGAAATAAATGAAAAGAAAATGTATTTTTGAAGATTTTAGATGAACGAAGAAGTTTTTGTTTGTCCTGTACTAACATATAATAATTTATGCTAATTTATGATATAACATCATCTTTTAGTGTGCTGCACTTATTCCTATGTTAGATTTAGCACAACGACAACATGG